AAGCACCACTTGGACCTTTCATCTAAACCATCTATTCTTTGCCTGTTTTTATTGGACTGCAGGATTATCTTCTTGCTGATTTCCAGGAGTCTCTCATACATTGGGAAGATTCGCCTTTTTGATGAGAACTGAAAATGTTTTCATTCTGTGTCTTTTCCCGTGTAACTTTGTCATCATTATGTAGTCAAGTTTGTGTTTTTTACTTCTAGATTTTAAGTCATCATTTGAAAGGTGATCAAAGGAAGCACCGTCCAGTGAAATGAGATCTAGGCCTTCACTGGAGGTTAAATCTCAAGGTCATCGCATGCAGGGAAATTAAAATACCTATAATGGCAACTTAAAGTGTGTCTGCCCTTCAGAGAAGAGGAAGAAAGTTAACTGTGATTATGCGACCATGTGATTGTATGTGCCCGAGACTATTTACCCAGCTTTCCACACCCATGTCCCCCAACTTCCTGAACCTCCCTCTGACACCTGAAATCCACATGGACACTTGTGGTCTTCTCTGGCCCACACCCATTCAGGAACACACAGAGCTCTCGCTCTCACTCGGTCCACGCCTCGGAAAGCCATGCCGCTGTGCAGCTCCTTGTCGTTCAGCTTCCCTCCAGACCACCCCCAGAGGTCCGGGGCTGAGCCAAAGAGATGGAGTCCAGTGACCTCTGAGTGGCATGGCCTCAGGGGCAGGCCCAGGGTAAAAAGTGGCTTCCGCTTCCTGGCAGGGCTAATCCCCACTGTGACGACAGCCTGCAGGGGGGTGGTTACCGGGCTGGGGGGAAAACCAAGCCCCTGAAGCAGGCAGCCTCACAAAGACACACAACTAAAGAGCTAAGAACATCCTAAAGAAAGAGTATGAATAGAGAGCCCCAGAACTGAACCTGACACCACTTCACACCATGGGGTGGGCGTGGCCGTTGTCACCACCCCCAAACTCAAGCACCCTCAGAGGACAGCTGCTCTGGTGGTTTCTTTCAGAATCTGAGGGGCGGGCCCATGGGAGGGGCGTTTTTGTACAAAGCTGTAACATTGTGGGGACAGGGGGCCACGGTGATTCAACTCCATAGGAAACCTTTACAAAAACCTTTCTGCCTGTCCCCACTCCACGGTCCCTCTGGATTTCTCCCAGGTCACAAGCCCTGGGTGGCTTGGTTCTGAGGGTCTCCTCCTCATCCCTGTCCACCGGTCAAGTCAAGGCCGCGGATAAGAACAGGCCTGGATCAGAACTGGTTTGCAGGCAGAGAGCCCAGATGTAAGAAGGACCCCTTGGTGGCCTCACGGGAGAAGGACTCGGGCAGAGCCCTTCGTCCAACCCCTGCAGGACCCGAGACGATACAAGGTCAGAGAGAAGGCATGCCAGAGGTGACCTGTTCTGTAAAGAAAGAAGCCAGAGATACTGGGACCCTGGCCTCCTCTCCAGGCCCACGTGCCTTTCGATGGACCCTTGGAGACAATCGAGAAGGGGGCAAAGGGCCCTCTGAACTCTGGCCCCAAAGTCAAAAATGTTCTGTACAATTCTCTTCAAGCACACGGGGACATCTCTCATCCCAGGGTCCTCCAGACACCAGCCAGAGCCCCTCCTCTCCACAGCTCAGATCTGTTTTCCTCCCTGTCCCCTGTCACTGTGCGAACACTCAAGTCTTCTTTGGAAATGGCACCAGGCTCACAGTCATAGGTAAGACATACCCTAGGTCTCTCCTGGATCCTTGCGGGGAACAGCGGGTCCAAAGCGTACATTTTGGAGTGATCATATTCTGATGTGCTAATTATGACTACACCTTCGGTGCAGGGACCAGGCTGACGGTTGTAGGTAAGGCCGGGCTCTCCGGGGGGTGTACAGCGAGGGAGGACTCTACCCCACGAAACGTGAGAGGCAGCTCTGGGTCCTGGTCGAAGAGATGTCATCTCTGGGTCTGGAAACGAATTCAGAGGAGGGTCGCTGTAAGGGCACACATCCACCCAGCCACCTGGAGGTTGTCTGTGAACTCATCATGGCTGAGCCTTGGCGGTTAGGGCAGAGCAGGGCAGGGTGGTGGCTCTGGGTTATTACCCCAGACAGGAAAGCTGGGAGACGGCGCAGGGGTCAGTAATAATCCCTGACATCGGTCCATCTTCCATTGCTGGCAGAGGCTCGTAGCTGTCCTTGCTCTGGATTTCCTAGGAGGCCACGCTGTGTCCTCCTCCCTCACCGTCCAGGGGAAAGGGCAAGCTCTGGAAGGGAATGCAGGGTGCCCCAAAACAGGGCTGGTCGCTCTGTGAGGGAAGAGATCACCAACGCCCCCACTCCCGAATCCCAGCTATGCTCAGCAGATAAGGGGGGTTTTGAAGTGGATCTGGGAGGCTGTGCTCTGGAAACACCATCTATTTTGGGGATGGCAGCCGGCTCACTGTTGTAGGTAAGCGAGTCAGGGATGGAGGGCTGGGCGTCTGAAAGGAAGGCTAGTGGTCCAGACGGAGCTTCCATTTTGGGGGGTTTAGGTTAAAGCATGTTTTTATCAGAAAGATCAGAATTCTTGTCTTGATGCAGACCGGAGGGGACGGGCTCCATCTCCAGTAATTTCATGGCCTGGCCGTGCCAAGCCCAGGGTCCCCTCCCAGAGAGGCAAATAGTCTCAGCTAGGAAGGGGTCACCTTGTCCGTCTCCCGTCCCCTTAGAGGGTGCCCCATCATGGCCAAGGCAGATGGAAGAGCCTCTGGACTCAGAGCTGTCATTATTATCACGCAGGAAGGAGATGGACCCAGAGGGAGGGTAGGGAAGACCGCACAGAACTGAATTGGTCCTCTGACCGCAGCATTTCAGGTGGCACAGTTGTCCCCACCACCGCCTCCTCCTGGAGCTAAAATTCTGCTAAAGAGACAGAAGGCCGTGGTCCGGCAGGCGGACGTGGGGAGGAGGCATGGGAGGGAGCAGGGCAGTTTTCCTACCAGGCTTTAGTGTTGTGCGAATAACGAGAAACTGTTTTTCGGAGCCGGAACCAAGCTCTCTGTGCTGGGTAAGCGCGAGGCTCCCTGGGGAGAGCGGATTGTAAGGTGGGATTTCCAGGAGGACCGCACAGGGAGGGCAGGGGTGAGAACACAGCAGGGGAAGGGTTCGGAGAGTCGGGGCGCTCCGAGTCACTCCCAGGGGTCCCGGGTGGGTGTTAGCTTCTGGAAGGAAGGGCCCCACCCCAGCCGTTCTGGGTTTTTCCACCCTTATGTTGTACTGTGGAACAACCAGGCACAGCATTTTGGAGGCGGGACTCGGCTCTCTGTCCTAGGTAAGGCGAAGGACCGGGGCAGTACGAGCACTGTCCCCTAGACCAGGACTCTTGTCTCTCCGTCCGGGCCCCGGTGGAGGGGACTCTCACGTCTTTGGGGGGCTTCCAGGGCCCTGCGTGTCCTCCCTTCGGCGCGGCTGGGTTGGCGCTCAGTCTCCAGTCCGGGGCCCGCTCCTTGCTCTTCTCCCGGGCGCACCTGGCCTCTCAAGCCGCCTCCTCCCCGCTCCCTTTCACGGGTCTACGCTCGGGCCTTCGTCCTAAAATCCCTTTGGTCCAGAGCCACGAATCCCGGCAGGGAAAGGCGGCCATGCCCGCTGCCAGGGGGTTAAGACTTGCCCTCTGGCGGGAGGCCCCCCGGGCGGGCGGGTTTTGCCACAGCCGTCTGCAGCTGTGTTCCTATAATTCTCCCCTCAACTTTGGGGCCGGCACCAGGCTCACCGTGACAGGTATGGGGCCCCATTCTTCACTCGGGGGGAGGTCCTGAGTTTGACCGCGACGATGCGTCCCTGGGAGGGGAGTCGGTGTGCGGACCGGCTCCGGCTCCGAGCCGCCTGCGCTCCTGGCCCTGGCGCGCCCTCCCCGCCGACCCGAGCGCGCCCAGGGCGTTTGCGTGACTCCTGGGCGGTGGGCTCCCCGCTCACTCTTCGGGCTCCGTTTTCCTCCTCCTCTTTCCGTCCTTCTCCAAGTCGCCTCGCAGCTCTACTTTTTACTGTCTGTTGTTTTACTTTCCCTTTCTTACCTGACGTTCTCCCTCCCATGTTAACTCCAGTCCTGCATGGTTCACTCCGTTTTGGTGAACAGCTCTGTCATCTCTGTCAACACCCTTCTGGGCACCTGCCTCGGGGTCAGAACTCCCTCCCTGCCTTCATTCCCCTCCTTCCCCATCTCGGCCAGTCTCCCAAACCCATGTCTTCCTGTGGTGGTTCAGGTGCTCAGGAGACAGTGGGGGACCAGCTCCGTGAGACTGGGGTGGTTTGAGGGGGTCTCCTGAGCCCTGAGGTCAGGGGTCCAAGTGACGGCATTGGGGGAGCTGTTTGGGGGTCTCTAGGAGACACTGCGCTTGGTAGAGGTCAGAGGAGATACTTCTGAATGAACCGTTGCAACTGGAAACTTACGCCGCCTTAGCAAAAGACTAGGTATAAAGAATAGGTAGGAGACGCCATTTTCTCAAGCCCCTGGATCCGAGCTGGGATTACAGGGTAAGGAGCCCATCGTGAAGCACCAGCATACGGGTGGTTAGTGCGCTGGGGAGGAAGCAGACAGGCAGAGGAGCAGGGCCAGGATGGGATGGGATGCGAGAGACACACAAAAGGAAGGAGATACATAGGTCTCGACATATTGACTGGGCTGGATCAGGCTTTGTCTTGCCGATGGGGGCATGTGCCAGGGAGGGTATTGGAAATTGGAAAGAAAGGTGCTTGAGGGATGAATGTGGTTTCTTCCATCCTTCTGTGTCTTCAGATGAATTCTCCAAAGAATCCCAGAAATCCTTTCCTCTCTTTTCTGTCAGGCTGTAAGAGGACCCAGGGATCGACCGTCTGGACCCTCTGATAAAATGGCCCTCAGACTTTGGGGGTTGTTCGCATCCGGTCACCAAGCTCTCACTGCTGTAAAGAATGCAAAGCTTGGCTGTGAGCGGGGATTCTAAACCTGGCAGGGGGGCTGTCGGCACACTAGAAGGAAAAATGGGCTCAACCCATAAGTAGTGTCTTTCATGGGATGACAGCCATCCTGGACAAGCTGCCATGTGCCCCATGGGTCCCAGTGGAGGGGGAAATGTGAAACTTCCGAGAGGAGACTAGCCAGAGGCCCTTGGCTCCTTAAAGCAGGTGACATTAAATATACACATATAGTAAGAAACGTGAGTTGGGTACACTATATAGAAAACAATATATTCAGATGCAAAAGGAAAAGTGACTCTTCTAAACAAAAAAAAAAAGGCTCATTTTAATACACACAAATACCTAAACACCTTGCCAAAAAAGGAAAATGATCATTTGAAGTCTTGGATCATGTTGTGAGAATCTTCTGCCTCAAAATCCATGCTCATTCAACTTGATGATTACCATTTCAAGTCTAAAAGGTTACCTTTTGCCCCAGAGAGGGCTTTGAAGAAAGAAGAAAGGCAGACAGATACACTCCTCTGATGTGTCACCAAACGAGGCCCTGAGTATAAGGCTTTGCAAAGAAATGCAAGAAAATTGGGACATACTGCCCCTTAGAGAGATGGAAGATGTAGTCTCGGGGTGTATCCATGGAGTCACTGAGGAGGAGGCCAAGTCGAGGGAGAATGACAACAGAGAATGGAATAGCAATTCCAAAACACATGGGAACTACTCTCCATAATTTTGCTTTATGGCGACCCTCTTCTCAGCGTGTGGGCGCGTGCACACACACACACACACACACACACACGCACACGTGTGCCCACACACCCCCTAACACACACAGACCTCTCACAGACCCGCTCTCCGC